TCGGCCGTAATTTACTGTTTCTATTTCGTTCGTCAGATAGGATATCTGTCGAATTAATTCTTTGTCTTCCTTGTTCTTCGAAAACACCGATTCTTCGACTTTTGTCCGATTCCGATAGCCTCTTTTCCATTTCGGTGTTCTCTTTCACCAGTCTATCGCGCGCGTCGATGACCGTTTTGAGTTCTTTACTTAGTTCCGAAATCATTCTATCGTTGGATTCACCCGACTTCTCCCTCTTTTCGTCGCTCAGAAGTCGTTCGAGTTGTCGGATCTCCTGTCGATGTCTTTCCAGCTCCCGCTTCAACGAATCCGTTTCTTTCGAATCCGTTACATTCTTGTCAACGTTCGAAAGTTGGAACTCAAGATTTGCGCGTTCTCTTTCGGACGTATTCAGCAGGTCGCGAAGCTTGTCGAGATCTGCCGAACGTCGTTCGGCCGTCGCTTGCCACGACCTCTTCTCGGCTTGCCACCTATGAAGGTCCTCATTCGACCGACGTTCGGAATCGGTCGCGAGCTTCAGTTTCTCCGAGAGGGACGAGCACTCGTCAAGAGCCTCTTCCGCTTCGGCCGATCGCGAAATCTTATCGGATTCCAGTTTAGCTATCCGATCGAGATGCTTCTCTTCCCGTTCCTTTAGGGCCGCATGCAACTTACCTGTTTCTCTTCTCAGTTTCGATTCCTTTTCTTTAAGAAAAGATATCTGCGTTCGAAGATTTTCAATCTCGTCCGAGTGGCTCGCCTTCGCCGATTTCTCCCTCGCGAGATCGTCTCGAAGCGATCCCAGTTCCTTGGCGTGGGATTCGTGAGATTCGTCTCGTGCCTTCTTCAATTCTTCGACCCTTTGCTTCCACTGCGGGATCTCCTTCTCGATGTTTTCGTGGTTCGCCNNGTGGTTCGCCTTCAGCCTGATCTCGGCTTCCTTGGCGGCCGCCAGATCGCGGGACGTCCGTCGCAGTTCGTCTTTCGTCTTTTCTAGAAGGACGGAAAGTTCGGAACTCCGGTCGTCCGCGCATTCTCCGCGCGCTCTCGAGAGGTCCGTTTGCAATGCGGCTATCTCGTCTTTGAGAGCGGTCGCCTCGCGT